AAGAATTATGGCTGAGTCCAGAAATATGGTGACACCGAAAGCGGAAACGATGCGGCTGGGCGGCGGCATCAACTCTGAAAAATTGACCAAAACTACAAAAACCATTCGCCTAGGCCCATTTTTTTTTTTTGAGTCTGATGCACAGAAATGGAGAGTACATTTCCTCACACTTCACCTGATTCACCAGAATGAACTTCAAGGCTGACATCACATCGGTCACTTGCACCAGCTAAAAACTACGAGTGATGGCAAAAATCTGAAAGGCGCAAAATGGGCTTGCAAACATGTTCTATTCGCTTTTCCGCCTGGGGCCAGTTGCACTGTGAAATCTTGATTTTGCACCGTTTTTGCCACGGATTTAATTTCCGCCAGTGCGTTCAGGGGTGGATTTAATGTTTGGCGGTTGTCAACCGTAGCCCGCATCCATATCTGTCCAGAAATGCACCCAGCCGCCAAATCCGCCCCACTTTGCTCCTTCACGGGGCCAATTGCACTGTGAAATCGTGATTTTGCACCGTTTTTGCCACGGATTTAATTTCCGCCAGTGCGTTCAGGGGTGGATTTAATGTTTGGCGGTTGTCAACCGTAGCCCGCATCCATATCTGTCCAGAAATGCACCCAGCCGCCAAATCCGCCCCACTTTGCTCCTTCACGGGGCCAATTGCACTGTGAAATCGTGATTTTGCACCGTTTTTGCCACGGATTCAATTTCCGCCAGTGCGTTCAGGGGTGGATTTGATGCTTGGCGGTTTTCAACCGTGGCCCGCATCCATATCTGTCCAGAAATGCACCCAGCCGCCAAATCCGCCCCACTTTGCTCCTTCGCGGGGCCAGTTGCACTGTGAAATCTTGATTTTGCACCGTTTTTGCCACGGATTTAATTTCCGCCAGTGCGTTCAGGGGTGGATTTGATGTTTGGCGGTTGTCAACCGTGGCCCGCGTTTATATCTGTCCGAAAATGCACCCAGCAGCCAAATGTTCAACCAGTGCAGGTGCCCTGGATTGGGGGAGGCTCAGAAACTATACATGGTGAAAAAACTTCCAAATTTTCTACTACAAGTTCCACCTTCAAAACGTAGGTGAAAATAAAGTTTCAAGTTTTTCACCTCAGGTTTGGTCTGTAAACTTAGGTGAAAAACTTGAAACATTTTTAGTGAAAAAAAAACCTAAAGTTTGTTTCGAATTTCTCACCTTGTTTCAAAGTGAAAAATTGGTGAAAAACCCAAAATAATTTTCACCACTTTTTTCACTGAAAAACTTGTAATGTTCAACCAGTGAGTGGCATATTATCTGTTAACTGAAGGACCTTGTCAACCTCCATCATGTTGTGTGAATCATCAGCAATCTCAAAAAAGGGTTTTTCGAGCAGCATGATGTGACAAGGGCTTCAAGGGTTCCGGGAAAGGACGTGTCCAGCACACTCTTCTTGGTCTCTCTGCTCCCCGCATTGGAGCTGGATAAAAGGTTACTCATTTTGCTTTGTTTCAAAGTTTAAGTAACCCTCACAGAGGAGCCTGTGTCTGAATTATTTTCATCAGCTGAGGCCTCGACCAACTACAGCACTTCTTGGTGCCTCTCCTGTGCATACTTGTGCATATCTGTAATGTTCTTGAGTACATTTACATCTTGAATCTAGGTGACAGATCATCCCTGGGTGACTCAAAAGAGATGCACAGAGGGTTGTACCTTAAAATCATCCAATGCTTGTTCCAATCCCTGATTGCACTCCTCCAATAATGCACTCATTTCACCATGACAAAAGAATTGCTTGAACTTGCTTGTCTCCTGTTGAAGTTCCAAAAATGAATGGATCTTATGCAGTGTCCTAATGATTCGAGAATTTTAGAATTGAGTAGACCATTATGAAGGAGAGCCAAGTACTCTGTAAATTTCCCAAGGTTATTCAAATCTGCAGGTAACAGCTGCACCCAAGTTTCTGATCTGACATGAAGTGTGATGACTGCATATAGCAATGTGTGGACCTGCTCCATCAATCTAGTGCAATCCTCCTTGTTTTTTCTGATCCCCTATATAACAACAAATCAAGATGAGAATATGGATCTCAGTTAGAACCTACATGCACAATTGTCAGCAGGGACTGAACGGTATTAGAGATTGGTTCCAAGAATGGGCTCTTGAAACTATCAACAAGTATGTTCAATGTTTTCTGCTGTACAAATCAGGCTTGCTAGGATGATATCCATCCGGGTTTGAGTTACAGCATGATGAGGCATTTGGATGGTTTGTGGGAAGGCTGCAAGTCGAAATGGAGCACCTAATATACCTTCTGCTTATTTTGAGAGTGGGACCTCAGTAGTAATTCCAGCTGACCTGATCCTAAACCTATATCCTAAATTTTGTGTCCATGCCATCTACTCACTGAAAATTTAAATCTGTTAGGGCACATTCATTTCTGAGGGTGAACATTGTTCCTTTGCAGTGGCACCAAGTCACATAGAAACCTGGGTCCACTCTGTTAAGACCATTACTGGGTTGAACTCATTACCGTTTCATACTAGTATATCTTAAAAGCTATTTCCAGCTGGTCTTGGCAATTTAAGTTGTCAAAGGTGAGTCTAAATTTGTACAAGGTGGACAGATTTCCGTGTACATATATGGGTGCATGATATTGTGAGAATGTGTGGTTCAAACAAGTGGGGAGTAGAAACGGTGATAGTATTCTCAAAAAGATTGCGAGGCCTTTTATACCCCGAGAACAATGTACATAAATACGAGCAAACTAATATGAAGAACAATAGGTACATTTGAACTCAGACCAGCTGAATTCATTGTCCCAGAGAACACAATGCACCCAGTGTTTCAACATGCTGTGCGTATCCATGCAAACAGTTGTACAGTTTCAACTTCCTGTGCATATCCATGCAAACCGTCGCAAGTGTGTCGGCTTGCTGTGTTATTCCAACAGATATATCCATTCTGATAACATTACCTGGCTTGTCAAGGTCTCTCCCGGGGTCATAATAAAAGTTGTGAAAAACTTTGAAACATTTTGAATAATTCACCAGAATGTTTCAAGTTTTTCACCAACTTTTTCAGTGAAAACTTGATGTAATATTCAAAACAAAATTCATCCATTTTTTCACTGTAAAACTTGAGATGTTCAACCAGTGTCCGAGTAAGAGCACCAATTTCAGAAAGCTTAAATAGTGACTGGTGACCTTGTGCACGGCCAAAAAAAAAAACAATTTTTTCCTCTTGCAAGTCAGAGTCAAACACTGGTTCAACATTTCAAGTTTTTCAGTAAAAATATGGATGAATAAAACTTGAAATGTTCAACCAGTGAAAGAGGGGAAATGTGTGATCACACGGGAGAAAAGAATCAAGAAAATCAGAGTGGATAACTGCCCCGAAAGAGCAGTCTGATGTATTTCTTCCTTGTAAGCTGAAAGACAATCAAAGACTTGAAGAAATACATCAATAATGACAGACAAATGAGACTAACAGTGAGCTTGTGACCCCGCTTGTGGAGACGCGAAAGTTTGAGTTTATGTTGTGCAGCTGCCCATGTAACACAAGGCTTGAATACAATGTGGGAAGAACACAGTATAGGATGGCGTGAGGTATAATTAAACGTAGCTTGATGTGTAACTCTGCTCCCAGGGACACGAAAAAATTTGGCAGGGCATTCAGGAAAAAATGAAGGCTCTACACTGGTTGAACATTTCAGATTTTTGACTGAGAAATTTGATGAAAACTATTTTGAATTTTACACCAATTTCTCAGTGAAAAAATAAGTGAAAAACTTGAAACTTTTTGGTAAATATTTTGTGATATTTCGAATTTTTCAGCATTTTTTGACTCAAAATCAAAATTTTCATCAAAAGGTTTCAAGTTTTTCACAAATTTTCAACTGGAAGATTTGTGTGAAATTCAAAATAGTTTTCACCAAATTTCTCAGTAAAAAATCCGAAATGTTCACCCAGTGCTAGGGAAACACACAACGATGTGTTAGGAACAATAGGTCAATAGGACTTACCATGGACTTGTAAACCTGGTCATGGGAACACAAAATATGTAATTTAAGCTGGCAGGCCGGTGCACAGCATCAGAAATTCTTGAAGACTGCAAAAAAAAAAATTGTGGCAAGAACGCATGTAGGAGTGACAGAGGAATGGCACTTACCGCGAGCTTGGAATGCTGTTTGCTGGAACAAAAAATAGAATCCAAATTTGGCCACTTTGGAAACTTGCAATTGCGGTAGTCTCAGTGCCAGCCTGCCACGACATCCCAAAATGGGAACCCTGTCGTGACAGTCTGGGCCCTAACCAGGGAATTAGCCGTACCTTTGCGCTATGGCCCCATCATTCATGCCAAAAAGATGCATCACGGCTGCATCACGGCATTTTGCACTGCCACACATTAAATTTCAGGCAGCCTCCCTGTAACAGACTCGGAGAGCAATCTAAACTGACAGAAGCCTTTGAATTCATTTTAGATTATTTATCATGTAAAGAATTGCGCCAAAATCGATTGAGAAATGGGTAAACGAGACACGCAAAATCACAAAAATCATAACACAGAGGTACGGCTAATTCCCCAGTTAGGGCCCAGACTGTCACGGTTCCCATTTTGGGATGTCGTGGCAGGCTGGCACTGAGACTACAATTGCGGAGAACATTAAAAAAAAAGACAGGTTCGAGGGTATTCTTGGCCATAAAAATTGAAACCGCAGCTGAGGAGAAAAATTCTGGGAGCCTCGATCAAGCAAAGTCTGTGCCGACACGGTCGGCCCTCCTTGTTAGTAGCAACCTCTTAAATCCGGCCACTCATTGTGTGCAGGCTTCGTAAAATTCAGCGGTATTGGAAATCACATGCCATACACACATGCAATGGATTCTAATCCACAGAAAACTGAACCACGGTAATGGTGTGGGACTTGTGGGTATGATTCGAGAAGGACGTCTTTTGGTGTGCTCGTCTTCAAGAGGCGGATGGCCTCAGGTTGCTACAGATGTAGCGCGACTATACATGCACCGAGGGGAAGGATGGCCGAGTGGTTAAGGCGTGTGACTCAAGTTGTGACAACTTACCTGTGCAACAGGTTTCTCATCACGTAATGTGGCGTGGGTTCGAATCCCACTCCTTTCATCTTTTCGCCTCCAGCAGCACGCTTCGCATTTTGTTTTCTTTCCTCTCCTTTTTTCCGTCCCACGCCTCAACTACTCTGCCATCCTTCCCCGTCACGCTGCCCGCATGTGTGGTATCCTGAGGCCATCTGCCTTTCGACGATGAGCACACCGAAGTATGTCCATCTCAAATATCAATGATACATGTTGTAGAAAAATCCGGGCAGCAAACAACCGGCCCTATTGGTAACATTGTAGTTACCTTACATTAGCGAGGATTAGCGGTGGCAAATGCATGAAGCGTCAATCCGGCATTACTGCTGTTCAGCTTTCATTCTGGCTGCAGAACGACAGCCACAGCCTACAGGTTGAACTATTAGAAGGATGGAGCGCGGCAGTGGGTGGGACCGGAAACGCTGCACGAGAGTTCAACTGTCTAGATTAAAAACATACATGAATCATATATTCTTCGACTTCGTCCATCCGGGTGAAGCACAGAACATACAAGGTAAGTTGGGGGAAATGCAAAGTCGAGAGTAAGGAGAAGGAGACCTAGCGATGTTGAATAAGATAATTGAACAGAGAAATGAGAGTCCGAATCATGATTTCGCACGAGCTGTGCATATGCCGAGTAGCAAATTATGAAACAAGATGTGTTCTCTTCGCATTAAAAACTGAAGACGATCTCATCATGGATTTCTTGGAAAAGAAAACCCACAACAAAATCGAAGATTTTTCGAGACATAAAACGCACGATTGTCAAGTTCGGCCCTGTAATTGAAGTCGAGACGGCGGGCGAAGGATAAAGTTATGAAAACGTACACTGGAAAGGACTGGCACTTAGATGCACTCCTTGTTTACTTACGATAGCAACCAAATACTAGTTGAGGATAGACCGGTCTGGAGGTCACATTCACAGTTGTGTCCTAGTGTCAGAACATAGTTTTAGAAAAAAGGCAGATAAATAAATGACGAGGGGAACGTACGCAGTTGACGAATTCCCATCCAACCAAGAATATTCTCCGAAGAGAAGATGAAGTAAAAAATTAAACCACGACAGACCCAGAGTAGTCTGAATCGAGTTGCCCGGTGGTCTCCCGCACTAGAAACGGGAGGCCACCGAGTGCCGCAAAGTGCACTAAAGGAAGGTGCATGCCCGCCGTTCAAAAACATCCTCTCTCTCTCCTCGTGCGCCGCACCCCGCAACACTGCCACAAAACAGCCGCGCCTTGCACACGGCGCAGCTGCGGCAAACCCGGGTCGTGACCCGGGCGTGCGTCGCCTCCTGCGAATGTTGCTGAGATATGTGGATAATCCGATGCACCGCGGACCTGATGATGTCCGGGTGTACCCCAATGAACCAGCATTCGATCTTCAAATGCGGCATCCGGGTGTGCAGCAGTGCAACAGCGGGGCGAGGCCGAGGCCAGACGGCGGGAGACGCTAGCCACTCGAGTCGGAGCACCAGATACGAGGCGCATCTCCCGGCTCGCGCGAGAGAGCGTCCGGCGCCGATAGAGAGACAGAGGAAGAACGACGGGGAACACACCTCCCAGTCCCACGACGCGTTCAAAACCGATCTGCGCAAGCCCTCCCTCTGAAACGAGATCTTGGGGACGATAGACAACAAGAGACGGATTTCTGGTGCGCCGTTTGGCTTGGTGAGAGCCAGATCCCTCTAAGATCCATGGAGGGGACTAAAATCCTCAGACCTTCCCGCTCGAGTGTGGACGAAAAGAGTCCTGTGCGGAACGAGCATCGCGGCTTTGGATCTGTCGTGGTGGAAAGAAAGATGAAAATCTTGTGAAAATCGCATCGATGGATAAAGCGGCCACGTGTGCGGTGTTTGTTCCCAGCACGTGTCAAGTCGCGTAGCGGCAGCGCATCGGCGATTCCCGCTGAACGCGTTTACCTAGTGGTCCTAGTCAAAAGTGCTATCAGGAGCAAGGAGTTAAAGAACGGGCTTCTGAACGCGTTTCGTTGAGCTCGAAAGAAATTCTCGTTGCTCCGATCATGAAAAGATGCAAACCAACATTCGATCCCGAAATTGGAACGCGCCTGCAGGGGCGAAACTGAAATATCGAGGCATTGAGAAGTAATTAGTCGAGGTTTTCGAAAAATTGTGGTTTTCCTCCTCAAGTCAACGTATCGCAATGCTGAGTATTCTTTCAGAGCACGGGAGTTTGACCATACCGTGCAATGAATGGGAGCCCGAGTAACGGACCGATAAATTCAAAGAATTAGGTATATACTACATTTCAGGCAAGCTTGCTGGGAAAAGTTTAGCTGCACCCACAGCGCCTATATCGCCTTCGACTGTCTCGCACGCAGTGGTTGAAAAAGTTCGGACCAGACTCCGTGATCCCATCACAAGCAGATGATCAAGCCGAAGCAATGCCGCTCCGAGCGCTCCAAGTGCACCACAAACATCATTCCTGACGTTGTACCTGCTTCCTTCCTCCCACCATGTCGTCCAGCTCAGTCTCAAACACATATCGTTCGTTGCCTTGAGCTCTCTGTCCAAATTCTTATCGCCATCCCCTGCAGGCCTGGTCCTCGGTTTATCCCTACTTCAACTCGTCTCTGGGCTGGCTACGATTTGTGTCCATGGCTGGGAAGAAGAATGTATGTACTGCAATATCTGGCCTTAATCACAGTGTCCGACTCGCTCTCAGTCACAGCGAAAATTTTCCAACTTACCCCTGCGACGTATTCTGCTCTTACGGCCTTCTCAATGTACCGGATGTACGCACTGCGGCTTTGCAATCCAGCCCATCAGCAGTTGCCAATTTCTCTGATTAAAAATTTTTCACAGGATGTCGGCCATTCACTATCCAGCCAGCAACCATTTTTCGCGCGTGAGCGACCAGAATCACTTCCTCCTGTACCTGTTGTTCCTGTGGAGCCTGTGCGGTAGGTTCCGCGTATCCTGTTCCGCATGTGCTCCGATTCTGACATCTGTCGACGCAGTGGCCGCCGTGCGCTTTATTACCCACTCCGATAGACTTTCAGTTATTGAATCCAACTGTCTGGCGGATGCATTTCTGCGTGCGACGTGTGCTCCCATCGCAATGGATATCGTTCTTCCGTACGCCATCATAATCGCTGGTGCGTCAGCTACATTCTCCCTCCTCGTGATAGCTAATAAGATTTTATCATCAGTGTATTCTGCGTCCCAAGCACTGCGCCGATGCGCTCTTGCAGCGTACGGTACCGAGCTGGTGCTTATGCCGCAGGGCCCAGTATTATCGGCCAATGAAGGCGATTCTCCCACATTTAAGGTACCAGCCTGGAAGACGCCTCATGTGGCAGAACTGTTCAGCGGGGACGGGAAATATGCTGGTGGTCCACAAATTGTATAAAGGATATATGCTCCTCTCTTGTAAATATGATCCTTATCATCTTTCTTCGGTTGGTCTGGTTGAACTCTCAGTTCACTATTCGGGGTTCAAATCGGGCAGGTCTTTCAGAGTTTCAACCGTCAACCCCAAAAAATTAACCCTTAGAATTTTTCTATCTGCGCATCACAAAGATGTTGTGGTTCTTTCAGCGACGTATTGGGGTTGCAATACCGGTATTTAAGACTTCGTTGAGCACGGCGCTCGCTCCCGCCACATGGGCATCGTATTAAGAATCAACGGGGCCGGTGGTTCGACTCCACCCGAGGACATAGGTACCTTGCACTCTCGCTTTTTTTTCCCTTGATCCGCGTTGAGGCCGACTTTTTTTCATGCGCGGACATGTACAGCCAAGCTGACTTGCAACCACAAAATCCATGTTTATAACTTAGCGCAAGGACTAGACTTGATTACGACCGTCGAGCGTTTATCGAGGGATCTTCGTAGGCTCCTGATAACCGAACCGTAGGAACTCACCCTAAAGGCTAGCGAATTTCGTAAAACCACGTTGAGAGCGAGGAACAAACTGTGTTCAAGGACAAGGAGGAAATAAATACCGCAGAAATAGCGTGGGAATTTTTTGATCTGGCATCAAGACGCTGTGGCGGTGCCTCCCCCTTTTCTTTCCGCCATCCTGATCCCCTGAATTTTTTTCCGAAGTCCTTCAAAGCTGCTGGTACATCCATTATTGCATAGGTCCTGGGCCGGACTGACATGGATGTCGGATCATCATTCGACACCCACACCGCCCTTGGAGTCCTTCACAAGCCTCGCTAGTATCACCTATGCAGAGCATGAACAATCCATCCTGCGCCAGCTGAGGCATCATCGCTCTATAAACGAGGAGCAGTTCAAACAGTTGACATCGCAACTCATCAAGGCGGAGGCAGACCTACAGGCCGAACGGCTCGCCCGCACTGCGGCGCAGGCGTCCCTCCGCACAGTCCGTGCGGACTTCTACGAGCATGAGCGCCAGATGGCTGCGCACAAAAAGCAACTGAAGGATGGTGAATATTGCTCGTTTGGCGTACAGATCTTTATTCTGAACTCGGTTAGTTACACACGCGCATGCGTCCCTCCGTATGGCTAGCGCGGACCTCGAGGAACGTGAACGCCAGCTGGCCGCTCGCGAAAAGCGGCTGGAAGAGGGTGACTATTGCTCATTACGGCGCGCATATTTATTCTCAACTCAGTCAGTTACCCACCAGCGCGGCCATCCTGCGCGAATCACTTCAAGTTCATCAGACGGAAAGGTTTTGAAAATGGAACCGCCGCGAAAGCGCATCGCGATCGAAAGCTTTCCGGAGCGCACAGTGTCGGCTGCGAGCGGGTCCTACGCCAGCACGTCGGAAGCCTGGAACGAGGTTAATTCCGAGCTCACCATGCTGCGAAAATCAATGGTGCGTGGTAGTTCGTCTCTAGATCGCTGACTTTGGATATCAAATTTGAATTACCATCCACCCGCGTCGCAGGTGTCCTGGAACTGCACCGCGTGCGAGACGACCCCGGGCCGCATCCGCGAGATCGTCCTCGCGACATGCACACACAGTGCGTCCATTTTTATTTTTTTCGTCCATTTTTTCTTCTTCGTGTTTTTTCTACAATCACTCCTCCTTCGTGCTAA